GGGTCACGAAGTTTCAATCGCACTGTACATGCGCGCCCGCACATGGTATTTTGTGGAAGAGCCACACTCAAGGGGCCAAAGAGCCGCATGTGGCTCGCAAGCCGCGGTTTGCCGACCATGGGCCTACGCAATGCAATTACCTTTCCACAGGTTTTCCTCACAGTTAGTGCTTTTCAGTCACAATTCTTACATTTTGTTTTAAGAATCTTCAGCTAACCCGAGACAACAGCCATATTCTTCTGACTCCTTACTAAGCCTTTTGGTTTTACTTTCACGTTGAGGTCTATGGTTCATCTTGAATTAACGTTTGTGAAAGGACTGAGGTAGGTGATGAGTTTTTCCCATTATGGATTTTTTTAAAAATCCTCACCTGAGGATATGTTTTTATTGATTTTAGAAAGGAAGGGAGAGAAAGAAACATCAACTGGTCACTTCCCATACATGCCCCAACTGGGGATCGAACCCGCCAACTTCTGGTGTACGGGATGATGCTCCAACCAACGGAACCACCCGGCCAGGGCCCAGCATGTCCTTTTAATTTGTCTCACACTATTTATGGAAAAAACTGTCCTTTTCTCGCCAGACTGCACCGGCACCTATTGTGTAGCTGTGAACCTGTGTGTGAGCTCTCCGTGCTGTTCTGTGACATCACCACCAGCACTGTTGGAGTTTTCACATGACTCAGCACGGAGGGACATTTATACCTCTCTCTTAGGGAGTAAGAGCTATAATAGTTCTCTGTACAAGAAGATCTATTTGCTGAGAAACTAAACGCTGGGCAATTACAAACATTTGCCTGTGGGGCAAAGAGGCTAAAGCTCAGAGGGGCTCAGAGAGGTGCTTAGAATTTAAGAAGTGGCAGAATCAGGGTCTGTCTGCTCCAGAGACGATGCTGTGGACACTATGCTATAGGACCACAAAGAAGAACAGTTTGCTTATTATTCCTATTAATGGTGACATTGCTGTATGCCTGTGAAACTTACAAATGAGGTATTTCAATACAAACAAAACAAAAAAAACGTAAAGAAAAAAGGAAGGAAAAAGAAGAAAGAAAAGAACAGAAAAAAACAAAACCCTGTTTGGACTCTCATTCTATCCCTGTCCCCTCCCCCTCCAATAAAAACAACATTAAAAAAAGCCACATCAAGGACGCTGATCAAAACAGATTAAAAAAGAATGAAAGAAAAACATTTCAAATAAAGTTCAGCTGTTTCTATTTGGAAACAACAACAAAAAGTCCCACTTGCCACAATAAACTGACAAATATGAAATGGCCTCTGCGGTCGCGGAGCTGGAATTTTCCGATGGCATTTGCTCCTGTGTCATTACTGCGGGATCCACAAGTGCACGGCGAGCGGCGAGCGAACAGCTGGGCCGCTGGTGTCGCGAAGCAGCAGCAGCCCAGGGCTCCTCACCCGCCAGCCACCCTGGAGACGATGTCTTCCTGACACTGGGAGTCCCCACAGGCCCCTGGAACTACCCCTGCGACGGGGCAGTCGGTGGCCTCCCAGCCTGTCCCACCTGGACAGGTCTCTCGGACACACAGCCTGGAGTTCCTGATGCCCACGGGTGGCCAGTCAGAGAGTCCCGTGGGGTGTCCAGGGGCCGCACAAGCCCTCCCCCTCCCAGGGAGGAGACTGATGGGCATGGCCCGATGACCCAGCGACCAGAGAACGGAGGTACTGTTATTAACTGCTATTCAACATCAGAACTGTTCCTGGTCTAAGCATACCCAAAACATCTACTGCTTTTTAACATAAACCATTGAAATGAAAATTCACTAAGAGCTTGCCTGTTGTTAATTATTTGAAGAGGTTAAACCAAACAAATGTGAAATAATGTCATTGCCAAGCCAAGCTTAATGAATTTACAAAAGAAAGGACTCTTGGGAGAAACTTCTTTTGGCAAAAACACACACACACACACACACACACGTGTGTCACCACGCCACTGTGCTCATAGATGTTCCTCCTTTCACTCGGCAGAAACAGCACGGCAAGTGGCCCCCAGGCTTCAGGCCTTGGCCACTGGACGATGGAGGTGTCACCGCTGACCAAGACAGGGTGGCTGGGCAGAGGGAGGAACAGTCTCACCCGGACGTGTCAGGTTTGGGATACTGGTAAGACACACAAGCCAAATGTTAACGGGGCGTTAGATACACGTCTGATACTCAGTAGAAAAGCTCGTCTAGAGGTTACGTCTAGGTGACGCTATTCAAAGCCATGAGAATACCCAGAGCACACTATGTCTCCCCATCGCCAGGTTCCCAGGGGGCTCCAGCCACGGTCACCTCCTGCCGGATGATGGCACAGCCTCCTGCAGATTCCCTGTTACTCCACCGTCCAGAAAGCACCCAGGAGGAAGTTCCTGCGGCCTCTGTGTCGTACCTGTGCCCTCCCAGTGGCTGGCGAGGAGGCAGTGCAGGCCAGTGACTAGGAAGCAGGCACACACCTAGTGCAAATCCGGCCTGACCGTTAGGGCAAGTGGCCGGGACTCACAGTGCATCGCTCACCTACGAAGTGCAGGTGAGACAGGGTCTGGCTGGGGCGCTGCCGGGAGCAGGGAAGGTGAAGTGTGCGCATGCACAGCAGGACCCGCTGAGGTTCCTGAAGAGCTGAGTGAGTGAGTGAGTGAGGATGGGGGGAGCCGGGCGGAGACCTCCGCAGGAGCCCCGTAGCTGGCGTGCTGTGGGCAACAGCCTCCCAGTCGTCTGGTCTTCTCGAAAAGCTACAGACCCTGAGACAAAGCTTGTCTCCCTAGAAGGGCAGTCCGAGGGCCATGAGAGTGAACCTGGGTGAATTTCTTTTTTCATAATAAACCACTTTCCTTACACCTGCACCTGCTCGTTCCCTGCTCTCCTGGGCAGAAAGCTTTCCTCTCTCTCTCTCCTCCCCAGCCTTGGAGCTAAGCCGAGTCGGAGCTCTGCAGCGAGCGCAGCCCGAGCCCCAATCACGAAGCGACGGAGCCAGCTGCTTGCCCCTGAGCGAGGCTCGAGGCCTGTCTCCCTGATGAGCTGTGAGAGGAGAGATCTCTATTGCTAATCAGACAAATGACAGTATCTTTAGCACAAGTAAGCATTTTCCGTCCACTTACTTTGAAACACATGATTTTCATCAGCTCCTTTTCTGTTCTTTTTTAAAAAATATATATTTTTATTGATTTCAGAGAGGAAGGGAGAGGGAGAGTTAGCAACATCCATGATGAGAGAGAATCACTGATCGGCTGCCTCCTGCACGCCCCCCTACTGGGGATGGCGTACAAACCTGAGCATGTGCCCTTGATCAGAATCGAACCTGGGACCCTTCAGTCCACAGGCCGATGCTGTATCCACTGAGGCAAACCAGCTAGGGCTCCTTTTCTGTTCTTGACAGAAACCACGGTGAGGGATTTTACTTTAAAATTTGCCGCCCCCCCCCCCATCTCCTCCATCCTAGGCCAGCTCCTCACTGTCCCCGTGGGGTTCCACTCTCCAAGTCCCCACAGCAGCCTGTCTGCCCCTCTCCACCCGCAGTCAGCGCAAGGCCGTGCGGAGAAGGGCTCTCACCAGGGAAGCTCCAGAAATTAAAGTTTCTCTCTCAAACCGAAACAGGCGGCATGGGTTCTGGGCTTCCTCGTCATTGCACTAGACCTGCTTCCTATAATGCCACTCCTTGGGGACACGCGTGCCGGACCCCCCAGAACACACCCGGATTACAGGTGAGGACAAGAGCCAGAGCCACAGCTTCAGGCACAGAGGGTCACAGAACAGGACTTGCCAAAACGAGAGCTCGGTGCCACCGCAACGTTCTCCCTGTAACATCCCGTCCACCTGGGAACCCCGGCCTCTACCTGCACAGGCTGCACGGGGACAGTCCAGCCGCCACCGGAGAAGGGGCTTCCTTCTTAGGAACAAGCCAACGGGGGAGCAGGCAGCTCCTCAGCAAAGGAGCAGCAGGGGGGAGGGGGGGAACTCGGAGGCACGGGCTGTGGCCTGCAGCCTGACGCGGGGGCTCACACGCAAGGATACAGGGGTTGCTGTCGTCCGGGCTGCAGCTGTCCAGGATCAGGGGGATGCCGTCCAGCTCGTTGACCTGCAGAGAGGAGAACACGGAGTTACGCACACAGCAGCCCGGAGCGCCGGGGATCACGGGGGATCTGTTTCTCTGTTTTCTTTCCCTCCTCGTCGCTATACTGTCTGTGCGATTATCAACCCGGAAATATTTAACAACAGGCATGTAGGCACAAGTAATACTTTTCCCTTCCCCTTCCTAAAAATGTGGGGGCGACAGTAGCCGTACAAACCAGGACAAAAGCAGATCGCTTTCACCAGGACAGACTCCAGCTGGGCCTGAGGTTACTACAGTTCACTAGCACGAGCACGTGAGCCCTTTTTCTAAGCTCGGAGTAGGAAAAGCTTCTCGAACTCAGATTCAAAATCCAGAAGCAACAGAACAGGTGTGACTCGGTTTTTTAAAAAGGTAAATGAAAACTGGAAAAATGATTTGTAAGATATCATAGGCAAGGGTTTATTATTTTAATACATAAAGAACTTAAAAAAATTGAGAAAAGACCAACAATCCAATAGAAAAATGGATAAAATACATGAACAGAAATGACACTGAAGAGAAAGAAATGCAGGTGGACCATAAAGATACCAGAATATGCTCAACTGTGTGCACAGTAAGAGGAAGGCAAGTTACTGCCACCCCGAGGCACCAGCCTCAGCTGTCAGGTGGCAAACGCCGGCTTTGACATACACTGCGGGAGGGGGACGGGGACGGGGCCAGGGGCACAGCAGGGCCGACGCTGAGGGCGCCGCCATGGAGCGGTGCGGGGCACACGCAGCACAGTCCTGAGCTCTTCACTCTTTGGGCAGGACTGCAGACAGAAGACACACCGTGGTCATGCGAAATTATGTTTGCACAGATGACTCGCTGCAGCACAAAGTATATTTTTACAAGTTTTATTGAGATTATAATCCTCATACCAGAAGACCCACCCTTTTAATTCAGTGGACTTTAGTATATTCACGAAGTTGTGTTGCCGTCACCACTATCAAATTTTAGAACATTTTCATCACCCCAAGAAGAAAGTCCATACCCACCACCAGCCACTCCCTCCCCCGCTCCAGTCCTTGGCAACCACCCATCCACTTCCTGCCTCCAGGGATGTGCCTGATCTGGAGGTTTTACACCATCGGAAGCACTCGGCCTCCTGTGCGGCTCCTTTCACTGAGCACAGGGCTCTGAGCTCCCCGGGGGGTGGCGGGCGGCAGTGCTCCATTCGCTGTGATGGCTGAATCAATTCCATCGGTACTGTGGATGCACCACATTCCTTTATCCACTCACCAGGCGACGGGCATTTGAGCTATTTCAACCATCTGGATATAATGATGCTATTGTGAACGTCCATGTACATGTTTCTGAGCGGACATGTGCGTTTCAATTTCTTGGCTCTGTACCTGGTAGCAGCAGAATTACTAGGCTTTTAGGTAGCTCCGTAGTGAACATTTTGAGGAGCTGCCAGACTCTTTCCAAGTGGCTGTCCCATCACCATCGCATCAGCAGCGCGCGGGGCTCCCCCTCCCCTCCTCGGGAACAGCTGCCATGGCCTGTCTGTCGGTTTACCGTCCTGGGCGGGAAGTGTGTGTCATCGTGGTCCATGTGCACTTGCCCGATGACTGCTGAATGGTTCCGAGTGCCGGCAGTATTTGTAACAACAAGTATCGTGGCCACACCTCAACGTGCTGCAATCCCAGCTGGTCACTAAACTACGGTGTGATACAGAAGACTCCACGTAGCTGGGATAGCGCATGGCGGTCGCATGAGTGCTGCGGACGGAGGCAAAATAAACAGATCTTCTTGGATTCCAAACACAACAAAAGGGCCAAATGGAAAACAATGGCTTCCCAGAGCGCAGAGAAGAGAATGATGTGGAAGAAACAAGGATGGAGGCTGGCCTCTGTGAATGTACCTGTTTGTACAATTCTCGCTTTGGAATCCTGTGTATGGTTTATATAATTTTTAAAAATTAAATTTATAATTAAAACAAATTAATCTGATGACATATAAAAGCAAGAAAACTTACTTCACAGAATTAGATCGGTATTGTAACTTCACATCTCAGGGAGATGCGCCCTGAGCTCACAGAGAACCCAGAAACCTCCACGCACTCGGCCCTGAGCAGGACGCAGTGGCTCTGCTGTTTGGACCGTTATTTCTATATCCAGGCTAAAGCAATGGGCAATTAATCATTAGGAACCAAGACTTTCAGCAGAAAAACGTTAATTTTACATTTCAATTGGAAATGGTGAGCATGCATTCATGATAGATTTTTCTTTTTCTATAAGTATTTACTCCCTCTGAAAAGGCCCAGAAGCCGGGACAAACAGCGGGATGGTCGCTCCGCACCAGCTGCACTGTCACAGAGCCCACGTCCCGGAGGCCAGCTCTCCAGTGCCTGTGCGCGACTGGCCAGGCATGACCACTTCCTGTCGCTCCTCGAGCACCGAGGCGGTGGGGACGAAGGTCTGAACAGGCACTGCAGGTGCTCGGCGATGGGCAGACCCGGAAGTGAGCCTCAGAGTGAGCGCTCCCTGGGCCACTTACCTACAAGTGCGATGCAGAGTAAGTCATGGACCCCCAAGACTTAGTTTTCTCATCTGTAAAATGGAGATGACAGGACCCAATTCCAAGGGTGACTGCGAATGGACTAGTGACTGCGTACGCTGGCACACAGGGACTTGTCATGGTGGCGAGGGAGTGATGGCGACAGTCAGCAATGGCCTGCTGCTCGCTGCAAGAAATCCAGTGGCCACAGCGAGGAGGGAGCGGTGGCTCCCGGAAGCCGAGAAAACGCAGGGACACTGGCCCACTGCCCAGGACACAATCCTACTCGGAATTAGGCACAACTGTACATTCATTTTTTAAAACCAGGTTTCTTTTGAGGGGGGTAAGGATTCAGGACCTTTATTCAATGCAAGAGAAACATCTCCTTTTCCTGGGGAGAGAAAGAATTCTCAGGTATGCTAAATGGGTAAGATGTTCTTTGAAGGAAGTAAAATCACCGCTGAAAACTGAAGCTTCCGCAAGCAGTCAGTGATGGTTACACCAGTCGTGGCGGAACTGGGGTAAGCTTCCCTAGTTAAAGGTTTGTCATTCACACCAATGAATTAGGAAATGATACAAAATAAATTCTTATATAAATTCATTTAATGTTATAACATAAGTGACCCATGACAAGCAGGTCATTTAAGAATGACACAGAGCAGCCTTAGCTGGTTTGCTTAGTGGATAGTGTTGGCCTGCAGACTGAAGGGTCCTGGGTTGGATTCTGGTCAAGGGCACATGCCTGGGTTGCGGGCTCAGTCCCCAGTGGGGGGCGTGCTAGAGGCAGCCAATCAATGATTCTCATCATTGATGTTTCTATCTCCCTCTCCCTTCCTCTCTGAAATTAAAAAAAAAAATGACACAGGGCAAGGTCACGAGGAGAGGAGGACAGAGTGGAACACCTAGGGAGTGATGGGCAGCATGTGATTACTGAGCTCAAGTTCACTGCCGGATGCGGAGCTCATGTCAGGGGCAGGGGTGAACAATTAGGGAATTAACAAGTTTTCTTCTGTTCGCACTTCATAAAACAAGTTGTTTTTTCACCCAGCGTGTTGGGAACTGATGCCAGGCCCCTAAGAGATGAGTCATGGGCTGCAGCTCACATCAAGGAGCCGAGCTCAGTCGAGGCCTCCCCAGCGAGCGCATCTCAACAAGACAACCCACCCGCTTAAACAAACCGACAGTTCGCCCCTGGAAACAGCGTGTCAGCAGGACAGCTAACTGGTTTGTAGCTGTTCTCTGCCACCTCAGCCAGTGACCTCAGAGAACGCACCTGCGAAGGCGCAGCCCGCCCCGCCCCAAGCTCCTGCGGGAAGTGTGGGCTGAGAGAACACAGCCTGTTATTCAGGCTGCTCTCCCACTGAATGGGAAACCAGTCAACCCAGACCTGAGAGGCGCACGTCACCGCAGGCCCGGACCCCGCGCACAGGGACGGAGCCTCGCCTGAACCCAGTGTCTCAACCACGCACAGACGCAAGGTCCCAGCCCTCGTGCTGACATGGACACACGGTGGCGTGGCAGGGCAAGGCCTCTCTCGGGGACGAGGCGTCCTCAGACATGCCGGCACTGGGTGCTGCCGGACCCTCTCGGGGCATCACCCCGACTATCTGCACCTGCCCGATGACTCCTGATGTGGAGCCTGTTTTCAGGGCGTGGGGCCACCCCCCCTTTTAAAAGTGCTCTCCAAGCCCTAACCGGTTTGGCTCAGTGGATAGAGCGTCAGCCTTCGGACTCAAGGGTCCCAGGTTTGATTCTGGTCAAGGGTGCGTACCTTGGTTGTGGGCACATCCCCAGTGGGGAGTGTGCAGGAGGCAGCTGATGGATGTTTCTCTCTCATCGATGTTTCTAGCTCTCTGTCCCTCTCCCTTCCTCTCTGTAAAAAATCAATAAAATATATATATTTTTTAAAAAAGTGCCCTCCAAGTATTCAGCCCACAGCTACTCTTACTTAGCGAGTTCCTCATATAATAGGACATGAGTCCTTGGTAAACACACGTAGAGTGAACCCTTTCCCCCACTGTGGGCCTTTCCTTTGCATTTTCTCAAAGACGCTAACTTTTCCATTTAGACGAAGAACAATTTTCCCATTTTTACCAGGATCAGTGCTCGGTGCAGCCGACGGGCGCCGAGAGCAGGCATTCTTGCCCCCTCACTGACGCTGGGTGCCCTTATCAAGCTGAGGAAGTGCCTTCCTGCTCTTCACTTGCTGCAGATTTGTACTATGAATGTTACAGTCTGTCAAACGCTTTCCCTCTACTAACTGAGATAATCCTATCTCTTTCCCCTTTTATTCCGTTAATATGTGGTCATTGGTGTTTGATTTTGTAATGTTGACTCAGTGCCTGGATGAGATAAACCATCATTATCAGCAATGCACTTCCTTTCATATAGTACACAAATCTGTTAGTTAATATTTTGAAAAAATGTTTTTGTTCATGATTCTGTTAATGTTTGTTTCTGTAGCTTGTTTTTTCCTATAAGGC